CAAAACGATGATGATTCTTGCTAAAAAAAAAACATTATTTTGGCCCTGTAATTTTGGCAAGGAGCGTGTATTACATGACAGCCAAATGGGAACAAACAGTTTGTTGTTGATGGTTATTAAAATAAATACGGTTACAGAGAGAAAACGCAATACGAAAAAAAAGTGCAAATGCCTCTACGTACAGCCTTGTAATCTGACAAGTCACGGTCGCATATATATGTTCGAATTATAAAATATTCTCATCACAATCATTTTCATCTTCATGGGAAACGATTACGTCTTGAGTTTTTGCCGCAGCGAATTCTTATGCACACAGATATTAGGATTTTGCTACCGTACCCACTCAAAAGGAAAGGACATACTTAACAGAAACAAGGTTGGCATCTTGATTTTGATCAAATGTTTTTCTATTCACATAATAAGTGATGAATTTGATTTTACTTACTCTCTCAGTGAGGACTAAAGAACACAAGTACAATATCAAGAAAAGACATATCGATAAATCTAAGCTAACTGAACATATCCTTACTGAAGATGGACAACATATGGCAGAGTGGAATAATATCAAATCCATAGGAAAGGAAGATAACAACTAAAAAAGAAAAATCAAGAAATCCGCTTGCATTCTTCTGAACGGAGACAACAGCATTGCTCCCTGATAAAAAAATTTGTTAAACGCAGTGATATTTTGGGGCAAATCATCTAATTTGTTCCACTACGAATATTTTGAAATAATACGCATATTTCTATTTTATAGAAACGAGAAGAGAAAATCCCAAAAAAAACAAGTAAAATGAATGTACCACCTCCTCGATTAACCTACAGACAGTATTTGATGAATTTTATATTTCTAAAAATTTCTCATAATGTCTCTTATTGACTCCCTTAGGTACTTAGTCGTTTTCTTTTTGATTTTTGTTTTTACTGACAGTGAAATAAACACACAAAAAATTAAGAATTTCTTGAATCAACAAATTATTTGTGATCGGATTATTAATGCTCAGTCTAGCGAAGTGAATTAACCAGATACATAATCATCTCAAGGGGGCAACTGCTTGTTCTTATGGTATTATATTTCAATTTAATCAACATTATGATGTCAAGTTGATCAACAAAATACCTATATATAGTTGTCTCAAACACAAATTATGTCGATTCAACAATGATGAGGATGAAGGAAGAGCAATCTTTGGTTCAACAAAATTTGTCAAATTGAAATACAGTTTTTCTCGAATCGCGATGTTTAATTGAACTAAGAAATACTATTCAATTGATTCAACGAAATATTATATCGAATCAACGAAATATTTCATTGAATCAATATCTTGTCGGTTTGAATCGAACAAGATGAGTATTTCAGTAAAGTCCATACCTCATTCTGAACAACCCATAGATGTGTTTGATTGAATGAGTTATTCCTGCAAGAAATATTCACAAGATTCAAACTAGAAAACCGCTCTAAACAATAGTTATTTATTATACAAGGGAAAAAAGGTAGTAGATTCTAGCTCCAGGTTGTGTTGTCTCCCGACACGTAGCGGAGGGAGACAAAAAACCGTGAGCTAAAATCTAATATTTTTCCCGTGTATAATACACTTTTTTTTCTGTGACAGAAAGAAGGACGAATCAATATCGAGAAGATATTACAGTATTTTGAAATCTGAAAATTATCGACGTGAAATTTTAAGTTTTTAACAGTAGGGACACCTGCGTTGTAGGCATCTTTATCATTCTTTTGAAGTAATCAAATATCTGATGTCACTTCTGTCAGTCTAATTCTGTGATTTGATTTCGGAAAATTGCGAATTTAGTTATTGTTTAGTGATAAACGTAACCGCGAAGTCGAATGGAAGATAAAAGGACTTGCAGTTCTTTCTCGGAGACGGTATTATTGACTCATTTTTCGGAACAATAGCACAACAAAAGCCATCAACAGTGTATATACCGGGTGTCCCAGTATACCTGTTCCAATGGATTATCTCAGTCATTTCGAAAGTAACAAATTTGAAAATTTCATGATCTCCAATTCGTTCAAGGAACCTTCAACTGAGAAAAACGAATTGAAGATCATGAAATTTTCAAATCTGATACTTTCGAAATAACTGAGATAATCCATTGGAACAGGTATACTGGGACACCCGGTATATGTGATATATATCCGGGAAAAAAGTACTCACTTTCTTCCACGGGATAAAAGTATTTTATGAAAAGTGACATTTTATAACCTGCCAACAGAGATGAAATGCCAAACTTTTTTCCCGTCACAGAAGAAAAATATTTGTTTATCCAAAAACAATTAACTATATTTCTTGATTCATCAATTACTGATTATCCAATGTGAGGGAGATGACTTTGTGATATTCTAGTAGTAAATACTAGTAGTAATCTTTTATGAAAGAGTCTGATTCTATGAATCTGTTCTTTTGTTCCTATTTTATAATGAAGTAGCAAAATCAATTTTCACACTGACAAGTAAGTTATTTACCTACCTCCATTTCAAGCTTGAATAACGTAATTATTAGTTATACCGATTTTTAAATCCAGATTGTTGCATGATGATGATTCTCACCCAACCGATAACGCGTTCTTTTGTTTCGAGGATTATCATCATTATCTCTTCACAGAACGTCCGAGTGCCACCACAAAAAATCTCTAGTCATGATGATCATCCGCTGATGGTACGACTGCTATAGGTAGTTAAGTAGGAAAGTAGGTAGTTTGTGCTTCAAGTAGCAGCTGAGGATGCCAAATAGACATATTGTGACAAGCATGAGGGTGCTACTTGTGTAAACAGGGTGATTCAAAAGTAAGCGGCATCCTCTCAAAGGCGTATTCCTTGTATGAATTCAAGGCAAAAAGTTCCTATTAATAAGGGTAAGACAATGCCTCCTAAGGGAGCTACAGCCCTTTAGATAGGACACCTCAAAGACGATTTCTTTCCTAAAACTTTCAAATCCTTCACAATAAATTTTCGAAAATTGGTCAATGAGTTTCTCAATTCAAAATTCCAAAATTCTATACAGGGGCCTCACTTGCGGGGGAGGGTAAGTGTAAAAACATCCCTTCTTATTCTTTTCATATTTAGGATATTGTGATTTACACAAATCAGAAAGTTTTCATGCCCCGCATGTGACGCCCCTGAATTAAATTTCGGAATTTTGAATCCAGAGTCTTATTTCCCATCGAATATTTATGCCGTACACCAATTTTCGAAAATTTATTGTGAATTTCTGGCCTTATTTTTGTTAGGAATACGCCCCTGAAAGGATACCGCTTACTTTTGAATCACCCTGTATAGCATATAGCATAGTCCCATGTTATACAGGGTCTGTCATAAGAGCAATTAAATTTGTTCGTATTCCAACCATCTTGTATGTTTCGCACCACCCAGTATCACAAATATCGCCCATTGAACTTTTTTCAATTTCACGATTTAATTAGGTGGGTTATCGACCCAAAAATGCAATAATTGTCACTCTGAACTGGAAATTGATATTCCAAATTTGAACGTCATAACTAATTTGGAAATTTCAAGCGATAATATTGATTTTCAGTTGACATTTTATAGATTCATACATAGGTTTATTGAAATTTCCTCATGTTGTTTCGAGAAATCAAGTAAATATCAAAAAATGCACTATGGAATATTTTACGAATACATGTTCTATCAATAATGATGGTTCTGTCATATCAAAGTTGTTTCTCAGTACAAATGGTGGTTCAATTGATGTTGAAAAAAAAAACGAAATATACGAATATTGAAAATGGGCGACTGGACTTAATTTAAAAAGAATATGAAATTGAAGGGTATTAGAAATAGTTCACTCGCCTATTCAAAAACAACTTAATACTAAATATAGGTTGATATATACAGGGGGGTGATTCTCCAACGCATTTCAAGAAAAAACTCCCCACTCACGTATGTCCTAAAAGTCTTAACTTTTGAGATACAGTGTGATGAAGTTTTGAAGAAAAATCAGTTTTTTAATAATAAGTGGAATAATATTGTAGTCATCTTCATGAAATTTGGTACATATCTACTATGCATCAAGGTGCATTTGTTGATGTATACAAATTTTCCTTTTTTCTATAAAATGCTATAAAAAGTCATTCAATTTTGTACACAAAAGATCTTCCTGTTGATACCCGACAGGACGCTTCGTTTTCGAGAAAAAACGAAGAAACCAGATCAAACTTCAAATTTTGATGTAAATGCTAAGCTGGAGTACTCCATTCAGGACAGTTATTACTGGATAACCACATCAGTATGTAACATTTTGAAATTTCTGCACAGTGTTAGTCACATAGCAGAATACATTTTGCCATCAGGAAAAGCTACACAGGGTGGACAAAAAAAAAATCAATCTATATGTTCAACTTTGATACCCTGTATCTGAAAATTTAGGACGTTTGCGACATAAGTTCATGTGAAGTTCCATAGGATGTGGATCAGTGGGTCATTCCATCAGTCTTCGAAAATTTTCAATCGAAAAAAGTTATATTTTTCTCTGATTTTTCTACGTCATTATTGGTGATACAGAAAAACTAAAACTACTTTTCCATAGCATCAACTTCCGATCAAATTCAACGTGGTGATATTGATTCCTCTATGATACGTTTCGTACTCGTAGAACCATCATCAACTTCTTCACGTTAAATATGGATAGATTCCGAAAGAAGAAATAATGTGTTTCGACCATGTTTGAGCCACCATTAATCTTTTTTCGACATTTCAAAGAAACAAGTCATACTCATTGGAAACCCTGATAATATACGAAGCGAGAGAAGACTGCCACGGCTTATCGCATCCGAATTGACAATTATAATTAACCTATCCGAAGACCGATTTCTTCGTTCATCTGGACGTCAGTTGTTATACATGAATTGTATATGTTGCCTAATAACCTTGCGATGTACGCTTGCTCGTAATACGAGCACCGACAAAAATTGCCGTCATTTTCAGAGAAAATTACTCTTCTTAATCAAAAAGCATCGCATGAATGATGAGAAAACAAGGAGCAATCACGGTGAAACATCTGTATATAGTGTAATAGCGAAACAAAAAACACAGAAGACAATGAATCTTTATATAATTGTATACTGATGATGTAACATGATATAAATGAGCCTGCTATCTATCGAAATGCATATTTTTTGTTGAAAAAGTGAAAATATTTCTCAATGAACTCACGGATACACAAATGTCTGGAATTGAGAAAGGAATTGAAGTGATTAAAAATTCGCGATTGAAATGAGATTCTTTCAAATAAACAAGTGTACTTTACACAGCTACTCTGTATACAGGGTGTCCCAGAGTAACGTTCGTATACTCCGGTAGGCGATTTTGTTGATTACAATAAGAAAAAACTTTTCTATCAACCTGTGAATCATTCTCCTAATGGCACTACAGCCGTTTGAAGGTATATGCAGTTTCCTTCAATAGGCAATTTCACTATGATTGAAAATAGCCCTTTTTATATGGCGAACGGTCTCATACATGACTCAGTACATCAAATAGCACTTCCTCTCATCCATTGATTCCTTTACAACCGTTTAATTAATACTTCTTAAGTGCTACAAATTGAGAGTTCCAAAGGACCATTTTCCGCAGTGTGACGTCACTTGTATTTTCTTGAGGCTCCCTCTGACGACCCGAAAAGGATGCGTTGCACAAAACCACTGACACAAAACTCGAGCACAGAGTGGTGGGTGATCTGTGACTCGAGAGAAAAATGGCTACAAAACAAACTATAGAAGAAGAAAGAGGTTAACCTCGAAATCTAGTACATAGTTCATTATTTCATTTCATTTTCAGTGATCTATCAGTGTCATATTATAGTTTTTATTGAGTGACAAATGCAATGACAAATGGTGACAAGACCAAGTGACATGACGAATTACCTAATGAGAATGTCCGTCCGAAGTGTATGACGCGGTGTGACGTACCTTGTATTCGTCCAATGAAATGCCATCAATATTTCGCGCGCATTCGAGCTATCGTTTGAATTTAGGTTCAGTTTAATAATTTTTTTCTGGGTCAACCGCAATCATAAAAAAATTTAAAAAATGCTGAATTCACCCAGTATGTGTTCTAAATCGTGGGAAAAATTCAAAAAATCATGGTGAAATTCCCTATTATCATTATTATCTAGAAACACGAAATTTGGTTCCTGAGGGTGATTTGATCGGGAAATTCTAATTTGCTGACCAAATTTACAATTTCAGTATAAAATACCATTATTTCAGATTTTATGCAATTGAACAAGATATACTTCTACTACCACCTCGGTAGTAACTACTACCACTATCCATACCCGTCCACTCCCTGTGCAGAGGGTGGTTTATCCTTGTGAAATTTGAAAAACATGACTAAAAAATGTATGTACGCTGAGTAAAATAGGTAGAAACACATAACTCACTCATATGTCATGATAGTATCTTGATACTACCACAGGAGTAGTAGCTACTACGGTTTGTTAATCTGTGCTACTACCACCATCCATACCCACCCACCCCCTGTGCAGAGGGTGGTTTATTCCTGTGAATTTTGTAAGAAACGCCTAATATAGGTAGAAACACATAACTTTCTCCCGAGCTTTCTCCTTTGTCATGACAGTATCTTGATACCACCACTCATAGTAGCTACTACCACCATCCATACCCACCCACCCCCTGTACAGAGGGTGGTTTATTCTTGTAGATTTTGAAAAAACGACTAAAATAGGTAGAAGCACATAACTTACTCATATGTCATGATAGTATCTTGATACTACCACAGAAGTAGTAGCTACTACCACCATCCATACACCCCCACCCCCTGTGCAGAGGGTGGTTTATTCTTGTTAATTTTGAAAGTGGGTGGGTATGGATAGTGGTAGTAGGTACTACTCGGGTGGTAGTATCAAGATACTGTCATGACATACGAGTAAGTTATGTGTTTCTACCTATTTTAGGCGTTTTTTTCAAAATCACAAGAATAAACTACCCTCTGGACTGGAAATATGTGGATGGTAAGGGTGGTAGTAGTTACTACTGAGGTGGTAGTAGTTGTTTATGCTGTTTGATAGCATCATTTTTCGAAAATACCTTAAAAACAGAAAATTTTCATTTCGGTCAGTAAATTAGGTAGTCCCGATTTGATCTTAGAAATCGTTTCGTGGTACGAAAAACATAATTTAATATACAGGGAGGTGGGAACGTTTTTTGTTCCAAGATACTATCAGAATGAGATTCTTGAAACAAAGCGAGGATACGTACATACGTCGTATCCTTGATTAAGTGTGAATACTCAATGGTCGAAAATATCATTTTTGGAAGAGATAAAAAATCATTTGTGTTATTAAATTGGATGACGATTAAGAAGGTTACGTTTTATTGCCTAGAAGAATTAATGATTGATTTTATTATTAATTACACATAAGATGAAAGCGTTGATGGCGTTTGAGAAAATAATGCCAGTATTCACTTTTAATTTCTAAACGATTGAATGTGCCATTTTAGTCCCTTGAATGAGAAATTATATTTGCATTGAGAACTCCATTTGAAGATTAAGACCAAATATTCATTCATTTTCAGGTGGTTTATCTACTTATATAAATGTGAACCATAATATTTATTCCGACACACGCAAGATGGCATTGAAATATTATCTGTCCATTTATATTTTACTTGGCGATACATATAAACGAACCCATTGCATGGTTTTAGGCAGAAATTATTTCAAAATAAGAACTAAAATAACAGGCAACACAGTATGAAACATTGGTACTCAAGTTGGTGTTTATTAAACGTTTATAAATCAATCAATATTTTTGTTAATGAAAACGAATAATAAAATTTGAACATGATAATTTCGGGATTCGCTGAGCAGTTATCAATGACCGATGAACTTTGGAAATTTGTTTTGAAATAACAAATTGGTAATTTCGCGAGTGCTTATATTGCGTTCATGTGATCTACTGGTAAGTCTCTTCATTCAAACTAGGCATCATGAGAATTGTCGTAATTTATTGAAATATCGGGTTAGGTTATAGATTAGGCTAGCCCCTAGGGGTCGAAATATTTTTTCTCTTGATGTTTTTCCTCTGGTTGTCTATCCAGTACTGAAGTCATAATCCTTTTTCCTGTGTTGCCAACTGTTTCATTTTAGGAAAATATCAAGTGAATCACTTAATTCCCGAATTAATCCAACTGTGAACAGTCGAGATGATTCGATATTCAATGATGTAGTGAATATCACACCAATATATAGAGTTTTCCTCATTGCTAATTCTACAAGTTTGAAGTTGACATGATTACTAATCTTATGGGTTGTAGTTGTAGCACGTTGTAGGTCAAACTATCTTGCTCAGTTCATTCATGCTATTGTTTAAGTCTCTGTTAAATCTTGAGAGCAATGAATGATATGCGATGATATCCAAACGAGCTGAAGAAGCGGTTGAGACGGCAACGCTGTTAAACCTACCGCTGACGATTTTCTGTCGTGTTCTAACGGAAGAATTTCTATGGAAATTCATTTTGGGAAATCTTTCTCAACTTTGATTTCAATGTCACGCTGAATCGAATGAGACTATGATCAGCCCGATAGGACAGATAGTTTTTGAGATATCGTCGCTCAAAGGCAGCTTTCCGATTCCATTGCCAATAGGTGCACTCCGGTAGGCTACTACGTCTCAATTTCCCAAAATTTCCTGATTTCCACCACAGATTCGTTCATTGCGTCATCGAATTAGTCTATTTGAATTTTTTCAGATCTTTAATAGGCCAAATAAGAATTTTCATTTTCCCACCTGAGACTTCAGTACGATAGTCACCGAGCTAACTTCGGACGGCCGAAAGTGCCAGAAAACGGCGGAAATTCACGCGAATTATTGCTTCTCCAGTAGAAAATGACACGCTGAATCGAATGAGACTATAATCAGCCGGATAGGACAGATAGTTTTCGAGATATCGGCGCTCACAGGCAGCTTTCCGATTTCATCGCCAATAGGTGCACTCCGGTAGGCTACTACGTCACAATTTTCCAAAATTCACGAATTTCCAGCACAGATTAGTTTATTTCGACATCGAATCAGTCTATTCGAATTTTTTCAGATTTTTAATAGGCCAAATAAATATTTTCATTTCCCCACCTGAGACTCCAGTACGATATAGTCACCGAGCTATCATCGGACGGCAAAAAGTGCCAGAAAACGGAGAAAATTCACGCGGTTTAATGCTTTCTCAGTAGAAAATGACACGCTGAATCGATTGAGACCATGATCAGCCCGATAGGACAAATAGTTTTTGAGATATCTGCGCTCAAAGGCAGCTTTCCGATTCCATTGCCAATAGGTGCACTCCGGTAGGCTACTACGTCTCAATTATCCAAAATTCACGAATTCTTTCATTCCGACATCGAATTAGTCTATGGGAATTTTTTCAGACTTTTAATAGGCCAAATAAAAATTTTCATTTCCCCACCTGGGACTTCAGTACGATATAGTCACCGAACTATCTTCGGACGGCCGAAAGTGCCAGAAAACGGCGGGAATTCACGCGATTTATTGTTTTTTCAGTAGAAAATGACACGCTGAATCGAATGAGACTATGATCAGCCCGATAGGACAGATAGTTTTTAAGATACCGGCGCTCAAAGGTAACTTTCCGATTCCATTGCCAATAGGTGCACTCCGGTAGGCTAGTACGTCTCAATTTTCCAAAATTTACGGATTTTCACCACAGATTCGTTCATTTCGACATCGAATTAGTCTATGTGAATTTTCTTCAGATTTTTAAGGAATTTTTCCAATTTTCAGGAATTTTTGCAATATTCAGAAATTTTTCTAATTTTCAGGATCTTTTGCAATTTTTGCTATTTCTGCAATTTCTGCAATTTCTGCAATTTTCAGGAATTTTTGCAATTTCCAGAAATTTTTGCAATTTTCAGGCATTTTTGCGATTTTTGCAATTTCTGCAATTTTTGCAATTTTCAGGAAGTTTTGCAATTTTTGCAATTTTCAGGAAGTTTTGCAATATTTGCAATTTC